ACCCAAAAGCCTATAGCAGGGCAATTGCTCAAATTGAAACTAAATTTCGCACTTAAGTGCAGGAATGGAGCAATATAAATAACAAAAGCTCCTTCTTAGCCGACGGCTATTACTCTAATTACAAATAAAGTGCAATCAAAAATACAAATTACAACGAAAAATAGCAGTAGAAATAGCTAGAGAACGAAATAAACCTTCTTAGCAGCAAGTAACAATTTAAACAACAGATGTAGAAACAAAGTATTAAGCAAACACTCACGCGCTCCCGTCTACTCTGCTGACTGATCGCTTCTCCCTTAACAAGAGATGGTAATGTTTATGGTGAAGCTAAATTGTTTACCATCACTATTTGTGACTTTCTTTACAATCAAACTAGTAGCAACACACACTACACTTTAATAACCTGCTTTTAAATTCCATGGACCTATTGGTCAAAGATTTCTAATCCCAGAGAGATGAGCATACGGGTGAACAGAGGTTTTAGGGTCACCCCCTAATGAAGCCTAATCCCCCAAAGGTTAAAGGTCACCGTGTATCCATTTTCCAGGGCATAAGAAGGTTCTTTCTTTTGTGGATGTTAAACCTCCTTTTCTTCATGCCCTCAGAGCATAATGAGAGTCCAGTCACAGTGAGAGAAGCGCCGGGGTAATTAGGCGTAGAAGCTGATAGGGTGTCTTTAAACATTAATGGAATTTATGTAGATTATTTCAAGTATGTCAAATTGTGTCGGAAAGATTATTCCACATAAAAGCTTTTAAACTGACAAAGGAATGATAAAAGCTTGTGTTGACATGTTAGTTGCTTTGCACAATATATTTCTTTTTATCTTCTGAGGGTGCCAAAATGCCGCTCGACCGGTTGGGTCACACGGGTATCACAGTCTCATGTGCATGCAAAGAAACACACTTTTTGAGAAACTGCTCCATGTTTCAAAGTGAACAGGGAGTGAAGCGGCATTCAAGAAAAAGATGAATCGTAAATCACAGGACCTTTCTAGAATCTTCCAAGAGCTTCCATTGTTGAGGGAGCGGCCGGGCCCCTCTCCCTCCAGCATGAGGCCTTTCCTCGGGCCGTTTCCGTCGCCATGGGGGGGCTTCACCCCTGAGCTCCTGTAGGTGTGCATGTCTGTCATCTCAGGAACGTCCTGCAGCACATGTACGTACACATAAAGAGAGGTTAGGGCACACAGAAAACCTTGTTTTAAGCATAAATCTCAAATAAAAAAAAGGTAGTTAAGTTTATGCTTAAAACAGAAAAATAGCTTAAATAGAATAGATTGTTCAAAACATAATTAAAAAGACATTTATTCAAAATTCATTTTAAACTAGAAAGTGTATTTTCTTGCCCCTTTAAGTACATTTTTTATATATTTCAACATTTGAAAGTTTAACCAAAATATGTGTACATTTTTTTTTTTAAATATTTTAAATATAATTATTTTTTCCCTATTACACTTATTAACACTTATTAAGTATTCTACTCTATAATTATAGTATCAATCAAAATTATAAATAATAAAGGTTGTCTGGTCTTATACTATCTATAATATAATGTTTACAGAAAAAATGGTAGATCCTTCTCTAAGTTTAGTTACCCACAGGCTTAAATAGCTCATTGAGAATTTCTTGGCTAAATTACTGTGCAACAGCATTCTTTCCCTTCATTTCTCTGAGAGAAACACATCTGTGCTTAAAACAGGCTAATGAGCACAATGAGAGCTGAATGTGAACATAATAAGACTGTAAACCTGTGAGATTCGTCTTATATTTCAGAATCAGGAATTTAAAAAGAGGAAGTAACCAAGAAACGTACAGCAAAGAGAAGAAAAGAGAAGTAACAAGAAGGTGTGACAGATGGGGAAATGCTCATTTGTAGCTGTAGAGCTGTGTTTTGATGTAGCAGAAACAAATACAACATTAAAAATATTGCAAAGCATCATGTCTTTCTACTCACTAACAAGGGAAGTTGTTACAGTACACATGTGTTTGTGTGTGTACAAGAGTTGCACAGGATTTTAGAGTTTTACATCATTCTGTTGACACAAACACACCCAGTATATTTGTTCAAAGGTTGGTCATTCTTTAATAGAGGCAATTTCCACATTTGTACATAGTGTGTGACCTGGTCAAAGGCAACTGAGGTGAGATTATATGAGGTCTTTAAGGGTTATAAGTTTAGCCTGAACTTGTAAGCATGGTTTAAAGACATGTTGTTCCATCTCTCTCCAAATCATTTCCAGTCCTCTCTCATAAAAGTGGTAAAAAGACCAAAAAAGACTACACAGAGTATGGAAGAATATATACATATATATGTATATATATCACTGTAGAGACAAAATCTACTATTTACAGTGTATGGTTTAGTAAAGTAATTGTATTACTCACAGTGTGTCCTTATAATATTGTTGTAATTTTTGTAAACTGCATTGCAATATTTCGTTTAATTGTATACCTGTATATAGCTGGAATGATAATAAACACTCTCCATAGGCTGCGTTTGAATACAATATTAGCATATTGCACAGAACACATCTAAATATTTTCCAAAAATACTATGTGGAGCGGTATGCAGTGACAACAACGGTATGCTACTAAAATTCATTTGTAGTCCATGGGCAGGAAAAAAAGCAATATATGGCATAATTAAAACAATTATTAATTAACATAAAACATCACACCTACCTAATATTAAAAACACATTACAAGTAGTAGTAATACAATTCCAAGCAAGTTGCATTGTAATAAATGCTAATACACCTAAAATAAATGAATGTTAATGAATAATGATTGAAAAAAAAAAAAGTTTTTCAATGATCACATATTTGGCTCGTCTTCAGCCATATTTTCAGTCATAACTTAAATTAAGGTGGAACACTGACTAATGCTAATTGGTAGTGTGTTCCAAATACTGACAGCTCTTATAGAGAAGACTGAGCGACTAAAGTCTGTGGCTCTATGCATATTGCACTTCACAATCATCTTTTGAAGAAGGGATATTGCTGTATAGCCTGGTGAGTGTAGTATGCATGCAGAATGTAGTCCATACTGCACTTGCAACACATAGTGCATATTGAGTACAAGCAGTATGCTGAACATAGACTAGTCCAGCAGAAAAAGAGCTATTCTTCGTATAGTTGCTCCATCTGAGTGTGTGTTCTCTGGCCATCTCTGCCTAGCTAATAGCTCATGACAGCTTGAGGTCTCGCCCTGTCAGCTCTACCTGCAGGGGTCTGGCCCAATGCCTCTTCAGGGTAATTGTTCTGCCCTTCCAACCCCCCTCTCAGGCTTTAATCCCTTCCCCCAAGAATGCTACCGAGGGTCAAGGTGTGTGGGGGGGAGAAAGAGGAAGAGAGAGAGTGTGTGAGTGAATACAGAAGCAGTTGCTCTTCCAAACTAATTATAACTGCATTTCAGCGCTGTCAATGTAAGCTCTGTTCTGCACAGCAGCTCCGGGACACATCTACACTTCATCAAGACACAAGCTGAACAACTGTGAGAACTAACTGTTACGTAACACTAGTGTGTATCGTATAGCTGAGATTCAAAACCTCTTTTGCCAGCACAAAGCTGATATATACTCACTATATATGTACAATACTTTTCAATACTCTCTATCATCACACAATTAGTTATAATGATTAGATTATAAGATTTCAATTAAAAAACTTTTTTTTTCAATATGTATTATGTCAATTTAATATTTTCAGCATAATGTAAGACAATGCCAAAGCATAAATACAAATAACCTAAATAAATAGAAGTGCAGTCATTTTTCTTTGATGATAAGTGGTCTCTAAGTTGTTCTTTGTGTTTTCATTGCTGTGTACTTTCTAGGCGATTTCTTATTAAGTGAAACCAAAAGTGCTTAACCAAATCTCTAAATTCTGTTCACTAGATATCAGGTTTCCCTTTAAATATTAGTATAATATTAATATTAATAAATATATAGAATAAAATAAAAATTATTCATATGTAATAAAAAATGAAGAAAAAATGTAATCCATAAATAGAATAAAAACATACAACATAAAATCTACATAATTAAATTGAATAATTAAATGTAATAAAATATCTACAAAAATAAAATAAAAATTACTAAATTGTTCAAATTAAATGTAAAAAAATATTCAAAACTTTAATTAAAACATTAAATGACTAAATAAAAAATTATTAATATGTATGAAAAAATAAATAAAAGAATAAAATCACTCAGAACTACACCATTATTTCAAATTCCTTCCGTTCTCTTTCTTTGTTTCTAAAACACAAAGGTTGTATCAAACAACTTAGAAAGTTCCCCAGTGCTGTTTTTGTTGCTCAGCTCGGGCACCTGTTAATCATTGGCTAGAATGGAGACGTTCTGTGAGGCTTTTCCTAGAAACTCGCCTCTCTCCAGTTAAGCTGAAGAGACTTTCTGAATGTATGTGTGCATGTGGACACTGAGTGGCTGAACACAGAGGGCAGAGAAATCCCTTCATTCCAGCCAGTGTGATCCCAGACACGTGGACCTCAGCCCAGGAAAATTCATCCAAGTACAGAGACATACTGTACATGAAGACACACATGGAAAATAACAGCTACTGAGGGATCACGGTGTCCTCATAATACAGAGAATCACAACTGTGAGGCCAAACCAAAGTCTGAACATGTGTTTTACTGTGAGCTATAACAGCCTGAATGTGAATAAACCTGGTGTGCTTTAAAGAAATAATTCCTCTTTAAGTGATAATTGTCATACTTTACTCACCCTAAAGCTGTATGACTATTTCTTCTTCAGGACACAAAAACAGACGTTTAGCAGAATCTCAGAGGTTCTCCATACTGTGAAACTGGATGGTGAGCAGGAGCCGTCACTGTCAGGAGCTCAAAAACAGAAAAACACAATAAATGCATGCATTGCATTTTCTATTTTGCTGTAACTATGCATTCCCATACTTCTCATTAGGGAAACTCCATGGCTATATAATGGAGCCCTTATGTGACATTTTTAATTACCTCAAGGAAAAACTGCTTACACAAGACACTCTGCCCTTGTTTTGGTGTAATTTCAGCGTTCTCCAGCATGTGTGGTCTGTGATTAAGATGGAAGCCTTGAGAAAACCTCGGAGAAATCTGGGTGACCAAAAAAGGCAGCTTGGATGAAAATAGTAACATCTCCTAACCATTCTATCATAGCGGATTTACTTTGCGATCATAAAGTTATGGTTCCAAAGTACATAAACCATTTTCATCAGTCACACCGTTGCAATGCACGTAGACAGTTTTATGCAAAACTCACATAATTAATGTGCTGCAATAGTAACACATAATAGTAAATATAAAGAGCAATTTCTTTTAAGTTCGCCAGAGCAAAACTCACAGTCATGATGCCAGGCTGTTGCTATGCAGTTGCTAAGGTGTTCTTAGATACTTTCAAGTGCATGGTTACACTATATGGCACTACATTTCCCTCCCTTCGGCGCAAGTCTGTTGCATTCTTTTGGCCGTTTTATTGCCAAATTTTATTAATTAGGATTTGCTCACATCAGTAAACTTAAGCATGACTAATAATAATACTGATACTTGTCTTGCATGAGTAAAGTAGACAGATTAAGAGAGAAAACACATTAACACCCCTGTAAAAAGGTTCACTTTCAGTAATCAGAAATGAGTGCTAAATTTGACCCGGGCCCCTCATGGGTGGGTGTTTTTGAACTGAAAACTTCCATTTCTGTCATGTATGTCATATGATGAGTCTTGTTTTTGCTAGGGGGCTTCCCCTTTTACAAGTGATGGTGTCTAACAGCTCATCTCTACCTTCTGCATGATCCAACCGATACAGTAAGTGATCTGAATCTCTTGTGCAGTTCTGCAGATGCACAGGAATCATGAGACATCATGACCATGAGCTTATTGAAAGTCTCAGAGGTTCACAGATCATTCATCTTCAGACCAGCTTTACTGGTGGTGGTTGATATTTTTAGTTGGATGTTCTTGTCATGCACAGTCAGACTCGGTTAGATGATTGGACTGATGGTAGATCAGAACACACTCAGACATGCATGGGAAGATAAACTCTTTAAACTCTTCTGGTAAAAGGGTGGGAGCTTCACATGGTGGATTACTCACAATCTTCTGATTTCAGCAAAACAGCCATTAGAGTATAAAACAGTGTGCCTTTTTCATAAAATACCCTTTAACCCATCTTTGTGTCAAGACATCCGCTGATTAAACCAGACACTTCACACTTGACACTTCGGTCTATTTAAACGCAGCAACATTTGATTTCTGCTGAAACATCAGCTTGCATCTAAGATGCAAATTTATGGATTTGCAAGAGGTTGTCAACACATTAAATGGGCAAACAGCTTAATGCTTTACACTCTATTGTGAAGAAACATTAAACATTTACAATAAATGTAAAAGAAAAAAAAAAATGAAGATGAAAAATATAGCTGCTGTAAGATGAAGATAAAATACAGCAGGCTACAATTATGATAATAAACAAAAATAATTATTGCAAAACATTTAGATGCTTTTGTACACTCAAATCACATATTTTGCTTGTGCTATCTGTCTTTCGAAATACTACTTGGTTTCTTAATTTATTATCTAATGCAATAACCTTCAGACTTAAACGTCTAAACACTTTTTTGGGGGCGCTGCATTTAACAGGAAAGAAAATGGCTCTTTTAGTCATAATATAGCTCATTTTCCTGAACAAACACCAATCAGCTTTGTCCTGTTTTCAGCCAGTGCAACAAAAGCCCACATTTTAAGGCCATTCAGCTCTTATTTTGACCCTGAGCCAGCTGTTAATGAACGTCATTTCACTATTTTTGTACAGGATTTAAGCATCCTAGAGGCTTCCTTAAATTACTGCTGTGCCAAATTATTATGCTACGCTGAAAATGACCACAACGAGTCACATTTTAACAGTAATTTTCATGGCTTCTCAGAAATATTGAACTTTTTTTTTACCTGTTCATGCATTAAATCAGTATATACTTCAGGAATCTGTGCTTTTATCTACAATTAGTGTCAAGCGAATTTATAGTCATTATCATCAAATGTATTCATCATTAACATTTCATCACCTCTGCATAACAACAGTTAGAAAATAAGTCAAAGAAGTTGTATTTATATACATTTAAGTACAGGAAGTGCATATATGTATATATATATGAGGTTCAAGTGCATGCACTTCCTGTTGACATCTTCATAGTGATTTCTGTTGAAGCAGAACAAAAGCAAATTATATGATGTAACTGTGTCTCTTGGGGCCCTACAAACCCTGATTTTTAACATCAGGGTGGAAATCATGCAAATGAGAACAATGTGAGAGAAACACTGGTAAGCAACAGGAAACGTTCCTTTTTAATGTTAAACCTAGATGGGGAGCTTCCCCCTGAGTTTCCTGTGAGTGAAGTGCTAGCGCAAGTGCTGCAACAGAAAGTACAGGGGTGAATACCTACATATGACATTCATGTGAAATTTCCCTAAATAGCTCCATTGTGTAGGCTGCGCTGACTACTTGATGAGCATTAAGTATTTTAATGTGAAAAACCACAAATTTGTATCGCTCCCAGAAGAATTCAAGCCGCATTTGACAAGAACATGCATATTAATCTGAACGATCAAGAGCACTACGTACTGCGCATGCACTTTAAATGCCATATCATTTTTAAAAACAACAAAATCCTCTAAGAATATGAAAATGTTCAGGAAATGTAGTTTGCATTGCTAATGCATGACAGTTTACTGTTATTAAAAGTGCTACCATTTTGCATGACACAATGTCAAACGGTCTCCAGATAAATGGTTAAAAGTTTTGCTTTGTGTGTGGCCTCCGGTTCCATTACCTCTATGAGTGATGCGTTTCCACAGCGCATGCCTCTCAATAGGAGGATTTCCCCTTGTTGTTCAAAGCTGCACTCATGACTCACTCGGTTTCACTCGCTCTCTTTCTCATTCCATCCCTCTCTTTCTCTCTCTCTCTCTCTCCAACGGAGGGGGCTTTTCATTGTTTTGCCTGTGGAGAAACAAATAAAGGGGGAGTTTTAAGACTGATATGAGTAAACTGCAAAGGTACAAATGTCTCACTGCAGGCAGGTGGTTAGACACACTTCAGTGGTCTCAAATGTTTGTTTCAGCCCCCTAATCTTACTGCAAAGTTAGGTGACGTTTGAATCATGGGAATCATTAACTTCCAGATAAATTAAAGGGATAGTTCACCCAAAAATGAAAATTCTGTCATTAATTACTCACCCTCATGTCGTTCTAAACCCGGAAGACCTCCGTTGATCTTCGGAAAACAAATTAAGATATTTTTTGATGAATTCTGAGAGCTCTCTGACCCTCCCATAGACAATTCGTCTCCTCTGTGTCACCCTGGTGCCATTTTGGAGAGTATTCTGTGTCAGCAGCTGACACAGAATAGCATACGCTGTTTACGTTCAGTGGATATTCTCCAAAATGGCACCAGGGTGACGCGGAGGAGACAAATTGTTCAATAAAGTCGTTATTTTTGTTTTCTTTGTGTGCAAAAAGCATTCTTGTAGCTTCGTAAAATTACAGTTGAACCCCTGATGTCACATGGATTATTTTACCGATCTCCTTGCTACGTTTCTGGACCTTTATCGTGGTAATTACATTGCTGTCTATGGGAGGGTCAGAGAGCTTTCAGAATTCATCAAAAAATATCTTAATTTGTGTTCCGAAGATGAACGGAGGTCTTACGGGTTTAGAACGACATGAGGGTGAGTAATTAATGACAGAATTTTCATTTTTGGGTGAACTAACCCTTTAAAGTAATGGGAATTGGGGCTGAAATGTGCTTAATTGTCATGACACTTGTAAAGTAAAGCTTACGATTTCTTTATAATTTCTTATCGCACGAGATTCACCTGTATAAGTTTCATTCCGGTGGGAAACAGACATTTTCAGAATAACTGCCAGCATGTATTTCTCAACTTCTTCAGCTTCTTCCTACAGCTGCAGAGATCAGAAGAACATGATAAACTCCTCAACACACAGGAATGTGACAAGATACACAGAAATCTGCCTACAGGGGATTATTTTGTGGAAATGTGTTCAAATTAAGATGATGGCATTGCAAAATAAAGATGTTGGGGAGCAGATTGTAGGTTTTTGCCTCAAGTACGTTTACAGCTGCAGTATGGCATATTTAATAGCTTTAGGTCTTTTTAGTGAAAGAAAAAAGTATTATTGAGAGAAATTATGCATATCAGAAAACTCTTGATTACTTATTTTATATTTCTGATTTAAAGGGTTTTCCCAAGTAAAATCAACATCTTTCCAAGTATGCATGGGGTACACATGTCACTGAATTAAAGGGACCAAGAAGTCCTTCCAAATACTGGGACAAAGTTCAGTAGAACATGATTAAAGTACTCAGCAAAGCTTGGTTTACATTCCCTGCTGATTGATATGCATGTGTGCGTATGGGTGTTTGTTTGGTGGCTGACGTATCACTATGATTTCAAGGCCAGATGACTTTCTGTGAAGAGGACAAACGAGAGTTCGAATGAGTGAATGTGTGTGAAGTGAATTGGATTGATCAGGTCATTGTATGAATGCCAACTTGATAAAAACGCAGGAATACAAAGATAGTAGTAAGTCTTGGCTCTGCATTACATGCACTCTGAGTCCATTCCAGGGAGTTCCTTCTGAGAAGTTGGATTTCTCTGTATTCACCATGTGGCACACAGACAGAACCCTATCATAGAGGTTAGTCAGAACGAATCCTCATGTGACACCAGCACATTCTCTCTGGATATGCGTTTTAATTTGGTCAGATAAAATTCTCTTGATGTTCAGATAGTTCCTCGAATGCTCAAGCGTGTTGCAGGAAATTTGGTCTTCAGGTAATAAAAAAAACACACTCATTTGTCTAAATTCATGCACGGCATTTCTCTTACCCCACTGGCAAATCGTTTTTTAATATAATATTACACTTAATAATTTGCCAATGGGAAAAGAAAAACAAAGTTAATTCAAGACATTTTTCATAATATCTTACGCTGCTTTGATTCTCATGTAGATTTGCCTTGTTTGTCTTGTTTTCCACTAAAATAGTCGAATACCATCAGTATTTAGACTGTTAGTGGAAAACAAGACAAAAGTATTGATTAAAAATGATTTTCAATGTGATTTCACAAATGGAAATATAAATGTAATTTCATACAGATTCAGAATGTCTGATGTCACAGCATGTTTAATTTTCAATTTGAATATTCAAAAAATGTGTTCTCGTTTCTTCTGGCTTTGTATTCCCAGTTTGAAAAAATTCTATTAAAATCATATTATTTTAAACAAATCATAAGCAAATCAACATATGCTGTTTGTAATTTTAGAACATGTAGTTTTGTCAAACTTCCCCTGCTTTTAAAAGTAAAAATGTCTTGCAAATGCTGTTCTTGAGAGCCACAGTGATACCCCTGAATATAATTCATTGTACTTCTGTAATATGATGTTAGTTTTTCTGAGTAAAATAAAATATTTAATGGGAAAAAATTTGGATGGGACTATTAAAGCAGGCTTTTTCTCACCAGACTAAGACATTTCTAAAATATAAAATAGTTATTGGCTATTGGTTAACAATAGGTGACGTCAACGAAAGAGGAGAGTCAATTCAGAGGCAGAGCGAGATTATGAAGACAAAAAAATAATTTGGAATAATTTTCGCCAATGAATCATTCACAGTCAGACCAGAAACGTGTAGTAAATAGTCAAAGGGTCCATTTTGATTTTATGTCGACTTCGGACCCGTCAGGGTTGAATGTGTGTGCTGTGTGTTTCTGGCACGTGTGTGAACTGTCAGAGGGAACATGTGCGTGGGAGATTTGTGGGAAAATGTCCTGTGACAGCAGCATGAAATGGGGTGAGTGACAGTGGACAGCTGAGGGATGTGAAACGAGACAAAAGGACAGTATATATATGCCGGAGTACGTGAGCGTGTAAGAGGAGAGAGTGTGTGTGTGTGTGTGTTCTAGCATCTGTGTATCTGTCTGTGTCTGCAGTGGGGCAAACCGTTTCACATTCCTCAGACGCAGTTGTGTTTGCCATGATTTATAGTTCGTCTAAATCGGTGGCGAGTAAAAGGCATAATTACAGAACTTTCTTTAAAAGATTTTTACATATGGAAATGCAAATGGTCACGTCTGCGGATGAAAACAGATCATTCACTTAATGACCGGCTGCAAAAGACATTTTATTTACAGAACATCAAACTGAACTTTATACTATAAACCAGTTAGCCCACATGAACCCATTTGAGACCATGAGTTTGCTGTGCAAGGTTTGGCTAAAGCACTTATTATGCAAATCCTTCTTAAAAGGATAGTACACAAAAAAGAAACTTACTTCCATCTCGCCTTATTCTATAGAATGTCCAGGCTGCCCTTTTCCATTCACTGAACGTAAATAGGGACAGAAACTGTAAAAAAAAAAAAAAAAAAAAAAAGAAGTATATAACATCATACAAGTTTGGAAAGACGAGAATGGAATAATTTAATGATTTTGGGGTTTACAATAAGAGAGAACAAATGAATGTTTTCATATTACATGAGTTCAGCAAGATTCAAGCACCGTTGCAAACACGAAACGAACGATTCGTCTTATCTGAGTCTAGATGTAATCCGTGTGGTCCTGAATCAGGGTTTACAAACAGTTTACAGATTATCACCCAACTGCCAGCTGAGATACATCAGGAATCTGAAGTTCACTGAACCCTCTTTGTGCAGTAATGAGGATCCATTAGCACGTAACTCGACACTGGTCCTGGATCAGAGGCAGCAGATGCTGATGTCTTTACATGGCTATTAGCAGGAGGCATAATCTGCATGCTCAACATTAAATGAAATTAAGAAGAGCTAAAAACTGGACAACTTGCAGACAGAGAAAGTTTCTTAAAAACAACAACATATGTTATGTTTTACATGCTGGTCCCCAACCGGCTTCATAACTAGCTGTATCCAGTATGACTTCCTTTGGCCAACCAGTCTGTCATCTCACAGACAATGCTGGTTGACCAACTTCACCAACTGGTGAACAGCATGGCTATCATAGCCAACTAGCTAGACCAGCACCAATCCAGCATGGGCCAGTTTTGAAATCTCTGCAAATTTCTGTTGAGCAGTGCTAAAATATAATCTCACTGTTATTTACTTACACATTTTATTTTGATTTTGAAGATAACAACAGGTACCAAAATTAATTAATTTATTTTTTTTAAATACAATTTTAAGCAAACCCAAAATGCAGCATGACAAGCTTAGCAAAAGCATCTGACCATGATGGTGGATGTGGTCGAGGGTAAATTTAAAACAAATAAATAAACAAATAAATAAATAAAATAAAAAATAATATTTGTTTATATAAAAAATATTTTAAATAATATTTAATTGACATTTAAGTAATATTTATTCAGTAGTGGACAGTAGCAATAGAAAATAGGTTTATGTAAAAAAATTAATTAATTAATTGGAGAACAAAAAAGGAGAAAAGGAGAGAGAGAAAAAACTGTAAAAAAAAAAAAAAAAAAAAAAAGAAGTATATAACATCATACAAGTTTGGAAAGACGAGAATGGAATAATTTAATGATTTTGGGGTTTACAATAAGAGAGAACAAATGAATGTTTTCATATTACATGAGTTCAGCAAGATTCAAGCACCGTTGCAAACACGAAACGAACGATTCGTCTTATCTGAGTCTAGATGTAATCCGTGTGGTCCTGAATCAGGGTTTACAAACAGTTTACAGATTATCACCCAACTGCCAGCTGAGATACATCAGGAATCTGAAGTTCACTGAACCCTCTTTGTGCAGTAATGAGGATCCATTAGCACGTAACTCGACACTGGTCCTGGATCAGAGGCAGCAGATGCTGATGTCTTTACATGGCTATTAGCAGGAGGCATAATCTGCATGCTCAACATTAAATGAAATTAAGAAGAGCTAAAAACTGGACAACTTGCAGACAGAGAAAGTTTCTTAAAAACAACAACATATGTTATGTTTTACATGCTGGTCCCCAACCGGCTTCATAACTAGCTGTATCCAGTATGACTTCCTTTGGCCAACCAGTCTGTCATCTCACAGACAATGCTGGTTGACCAACTTCACCAACTGGTGAACAGCATGGCTATCATAGCCAACTAGCTAGACCAGCACCAATCCAGCATGGGCCAGTTTTGAAATCTCTGCAAATTTCTGTTGAGCAGTGCTAAAATATAATCTCACTGTTATTTACTTACACATTTTATTTTGATTTTGAAGATAACAACAGGTACCAAAATTAATTAATTTATTTTTTTTAAATACAATTTTAAGCAAACCCAAAATGCAGCATGACAAGCTTAGCAAAAGCATCTGACCATGATGGTGGATGTGGTCGAGGGTAAATTTAAAACAAATAAATAAACAAATAAATAAATAAAATAAAAAATAATATTTGTTTATATAAAAAATATTTTAAATAATATTTAATTGACATTTAAGTAATATTTATTCAGTAGTGGACAGTAGCAATAGAAAATAGGTTTATGTAAAAAAATTAATTAATTAATTGGAGAACAAAAAAGGAGAAAAGGAGTTTCAGTTGGTGCCTTCAAAGATTTATTTCGACCTGATATGACCAGTATTTGTTGACATAACCTAATTTAGTCACAATGATTTAAATATATTCAATTATATACTGGATTTTAATTAAAACTCATTTTCAAGTTACCTGATTAAACAGTTTTACAGCATATTAGAGTAACAATAAAATACCTGCAGTACACTTTTTGTCATTAAACAACTTAACCAACTGGTGTTGCAGGAACCCTAATGGTAAACCACTTGGTAACCAATCACTCTCACTACCACTTCTAAATTTAAATACAAACTAGAGAAATCAGTTGATCTCTTCCCACTGATTCTATCATTTCTATAACTGTAAAAAGAAAGAATAAAAATCCCCATCTCTGCATAGGAGTGCACTTGCCACTTTCTAAGTTTTGACCTCCCTCTGTTGGAGAAGTGTATACTGGAGCATGTCTCTCAGGTCTGGGGTCAGAAGGTGAGGAATTCCTTAAAGAAACAACCAAAGAGCAAAGACAAGGAGCCTCCTTCTTTAAAAGACCAAAGGAAAGGAGACGAGAGCCAGACGGATGCCCTATCTGAGGTCTGAACTCCTTTATAAAGAATAAAGTGCAGCCTTTATCTAGTGTACCTAAAAGACAATTCGTCTTTCTGAACAAAGAGTTCACCTTGATGAAGTACCCAGATCGCATGAATCAAAAGCCTTATAGCTGATGCCATCTTTTCTTATCTTTTAACCCCCCTGAATTGGCTGTTTAGTGACATCTAAAGCTAAATGTTGTTGTTGCCCAATGTTTTCCTTTCTGTTAAAATGAGCACGAATGTGGTTTTGTTTGAGCCTATATAAATTATAAACACATTTGAGATAGGTTGTTGAAAATTGTTTGACTGTTTAAAAGCGTGTGCATATACAGTACCGAAATACCAGTTGAATTTGGTCAGAGCTGCAGTCTAGTCATCGACGTGAACTCACGGTTGGGTGGATGAATCATCAGAACCGCAAAGAAAGTTCTGCATGTGGTTCATTCTTAGAATCCTCCAGCGTTTCACTTCAGAGAATCTGCATTGAGGTCAGACACCATTTCAACAATAATAGGACGAATCAAATGATATTATGTCAACAATATCAGGGCCATGAAAAAAAAAAAAAGAAATTATATTTTGCATAAAGAAATTTAAAAACCATTAAGGTTATTTTTCTATGGTTACAACAAGTGGTGCAGGTTAACTGTCAGAAAAAAATATGAAAAAAGATTTCTTGACTAGTTTCAGATGAAGGTAATCCCTATTAAGGTTGCTATGCAGTTCCTATTGTGTTTTAAGTGGTTGTGAAGGAGTTCTGATGATTTTAAACATGTTGCTATGCATTTTAGTTGCTAGGGTGTTTTATTTGCTAGGTGGTTGCTAAGGTATTATGAGCAATTTAAGAATGCTGCTATGCAGTTTAGTTGCTAGGGTGTTCTGAATGGTTGCTAGGTGGTTGCTAAGGTATTATGAGTAATTTTAGAATGTGGCTCTGAAGTTGCAATGATGTTTTGAGTGGTTGCTATGTGGTTGCTAAGGTATTATGAGTAATTTTAGAATGTGGCTCTGAAGTTGCAATGATGTTTTGAGTGGTTGCTATGTGGTTGCTAAGGTAGCACAGTGATTGAAGAATGTTGCTATGCAGTTTAGTTGCTAGGGTGTTTTGAATGGTTGCTAAGGGATTATGATGTTTTAAGAATGTTGCTAGGCTGTTTAGTTGCTAGGGTGTTTGAATGGTTGCTAGGTGGTTGCTAAGGTATTATGAGTAATTTTAGAATGTGGCTCTGAAGTTGCAATGATGTTTTGAGTGGTTGCTATGTGGTTGCTAAGGTAGCACAGTGATTGAAGAATGTTGCTATGCAGTTTAGTTGCTAGGGTGTTTTGAATGGTTGCTAAGGGATTATGATGTTTTAAGAATGTTGCTAGGCTGTTTAGTTGCTAGGGTGTTTGAATGGTTGCTAGGTGGTTGCTAAGGTATTATGAGTGATTTAAGAATGTTGCTATGCAGTTTGGTTACTAGCATGATTTGAATGGTTGCTAGGATGCATTATGAGTGATTTTAAGCACGTTTCGATGCAGCAAATGCATTAATATTATGTCAACAATACATGAAACTCACATTAACATATCAAGAAATTACAGATAGAAATGAATGTTACATAAATCAAGACCAAAATGAATACTGTAGATTAGAATGTTAGATCTTTGTTTTACAACACAAGCATTCTAACTGCACTTAACTTGAAATTTTGAGTAAACAGTTTTGACTGATTGCTCCCTCATGTGGTTCTTGTGTCCAGTCTATAAATACACAAGTAAAATCTATCGGGGAGATGCGATGAGAGCGTCTCAGTAAACAAGTTATGAAACGCTGCCAACATGCGTCTAATATACCTGTCTCAAAATAACATGGTGTGGTTTAGAATTAGACGTCATCACTACAGAGGGAGGATCTGAGACACTGTCAACCTTTGTGGGCACGCATGGTTTGGCCAATAACACTGAATAACATTTACATCCCCAGATCTTAGTTTGCGTCACATTAAAGGGATAGTTCAACCAAAAATGAAAATTATGTCATCATTTATTCACCCTCATGTCGTTCCAAACCTGTATGAGTTGCTTTCTTATGTCAAACATAAAAGATATTTGAAGATTGCTGGTAATCAAACAGTTGGTGGTTGCCATTGACTTCCATACCACCAACTGTTTGATTACCAGCAATCTTCAAAATATCTTCTTTTATGTTCGACATAAGAAAGCAACTCATACAGGTTTGGAACGACATGAGGGTGAGTAAATGATGACAGAATTTTCATTTTTGGGTGAACTATCCCTTTAAGTGTGCTTGAGCTGATCAACTGTCACCTTGTTCCCTACAGAGAGAAGCTCCTGTCCAAACACAATCCTGTTACCGCAGCTCATCTGGACAAATGTTTGTCTGCGTCCCTGTCGGATGTCATTTCTCTTAGCACTGTTGAGATAAACAGGAGAGAGTGAGAGTAATGGAGACAGAAGGGAAAGTCAAGCATGAGTGCTTCAGGAGTGACCCTTTAAAGAAGCAGCTCTGATCACCATCACATATGCAGGCCGCAAACACAATGACACACTGCACATTAACTGCAAACACATGCAAAACTCACCAACACATGGAAGCCCATTTCTGCCACTGAGTAAAAAATACAAAAGGTAATTGCGACTTTTTTCTCGCAAGTGCAAGTTTACATCAGAATTACATCAGAAACGTCAGAATTGCGAGTTATTAAGTCGCAGTTGGGTGTTATGAAGTCAGAATTGCATGATATGAACTGGCAATTCTGAGAAATAAAGTCAGAATTGAGATAAAAGCTCACAATTCATATCTCTCAATTCTGACTTATAATACGCAGTTGTAAGAAACTACTATTTCCCTCATAATTGGACTTTTATAACTCGCAGTTGAGAGTTTATGTCTCACAATTCTGTGAAACAAGTCAGAATTCCTAGATATAAACTCGCAATTGCAATAAAGTCAGAACTGCGATATAAACTCAAAATAAGTTTGGAATGTTTTCAACATTTTATTGTCTGATTGTCAGCGAGTTTCACACCAAATTTCAATACTTGTCTTGCTAATAATACCCTAAGTATAAGAAAATAAATATAGTTATTATTGCAAAATTAAACCCCCAAAACACTCCAAAATATATAATAGAACATATATGAAAAAGTGTTTAAAACTTCCTGCATGAACTTCCTGGACTCCAAGACCCTCGTCATGATGACCGCACTGGAAACTTCCTCTCAGGACTGTAGTTCAGTGGTGCGGCAATAGAGAGCGGCCCACAATGGCAACACAAATAAACACCACTGCATAAAAGTGTGAGATTTCCCTTTAGCGTAGGCTTTTGCTGTAACACGTAGGCCCTTTGTTTTTTATTGCGTAGGTTCTCTCTCCAATAAACCACAGACCTATGCTCTATTTACATTCATGCCTTCAGATGGCTTTTTCTTGCCAAAGCAGTGCAGGAGGACAAATTGACTTCCTGAAAGAAAGATGGAGAGCATGAAATGTTAAGTACAAGTACTTATTGTTCTTCTGTAAAATGCAGTATGATCAAAGGAGAGTTGTCATGAGTCTTGTCTTCACACCAAATGCCATTTTAGGGATGGTTGCTATTTCTGTCTCAGCTATGTGTGAATTGAGACAGAGATGCCGCCGAGATGAAAGAGAGTTTCTGTGAATAGATCTATGGTGTGAAAAGCTGTGATGGGTCTTAGGGTATGTGCATTAAATATGGCAGAAAAAAATGGCTCTTGCTAATGAATTTCCTCCATTTAAAATGCCAATCATACTGTAACTTTCTCACACAAGCATTTCCGCCACTACAAGTGGTAAAATACTGTGCTTTTACCGTGACTAATGCCGTAATGGGTAACTTAAGTATACTTTACCCCTCCCAAGTCGAGCAGAGGAGCATGGGTGTCCTTTTTCGAGCCATTGTTCCTCCTACGCTTTCTTCATAACCCTGTGTTTTCCCTTACATCTGTACAGGCCACTTCACAGCAAAAATGAAACCAAAGGTTAAGAAGTTCATGTGAAAATGGCATAATAAATGCAAGACAACCCTAGTAAAAAAAAAGTAATATATTTAAAATACATTTATTTCATACTAAGTATTGTTAACATCTATTAAAATATTTACTGACGTATTTACTGATATAAAAGTTAGAATTAAACTTTATTTTGGAGTACTACTTGTGCACAATGCACATTTCTTAATATTAAGCCTAAAATGTGTTTTAATGTCACTATTGATGAGGATTGTATGATCTTTGAATAATATCGGTCTTTAAATGCAAGATTTTTAAAGTGTACCTGAAGTAGGCTATACTTGCAATAGTTCCACTTTAACACAATCAAACATACTTCGGTGTACTTCGGCACTACTTCTGCACGCATTAAGTACAAAATTAGTTGTTCCAATTTAGCAGACTTTAAGTATACTAGTTTAGCATATTTGCAGGGATAATTTTTTATTAAGTACATAAATATAAATGTATTTGTAGTATACTTAGCATGACATTTTTTTTCTCTTAGTATTTCAAAAACATTTTAGTATATTTATTTTTCGCTAGGGAAAACCCATCTTATTAACAAGTGAAAAAATTGCACTTCCATAATGTACTTAAAGTGCACTATTTTCACATACTAATTTTGTACTTAATATACTAAACATTATTCTTTAGTACTTCTTAAAATAATCTCAAGAACATTTAAGTGTACTCAGCTGTGTAATTTTAAGACACCATGAATATGAACTGAAATGTGCTTTTAACATACTCTGTATTAAAAATGTATTTAGTTACCACTTGTAGTACACTTGAGTGTACTAATGTATGAAAGATGTTGAAAGCACATTTTAGTTCATATTCAAGGTGTGGATGTTCTTAAGACTGTCTTAAGAAGTACTAAAGAATCATTTTTAGTATATTAAGTACAAAATTAGTGCGTGAAAATAGAGCATTTTAAGTACATTATGGAAGTGCACTTGTTTTTCGCCTGGGGCTTGAATGCAAAATATGTCCCATATAGCAAAATAACATTTTATTTAGACTTTAAGCATGTATTTAGATTTAAAAATCTAGTTACATTAACATATACTTTAAAATTTAGTACAACATTAAAATTACATTTTGTTTCTAGTATTTTTTTTCTAGTAAATGGCTATATTCTCAGATTTGAGCTCCTTGAGTTTCCTGCAGGTAAAACTGATGAGTCTGTCCATCAGTTCTTTGTTTACAGCTGATAAACAGTGTTGATCTATGCCAGACAGAGGTCACATATAGTAAAACAAAATGCATCCAGAATTAACGTGTAACCACAGGAGCCAAATAAAAACAGGAAGTACTCTCTTTGATGACAGGAAGTGGGTGAAAAACACAAGCGAATGCTGTGCTGCATGTGTACGGCTGTGTGTGTGTGTGTGTAAAACTAGTTTTTTTTCTGGTAAAATTGGAACTGTGTCACACTACTTGTGTTGCAAACTAAATCTGAGAAGCTCTGAGCCACATCCTGATACACCTCTCCCTGCAGCGTTATATAGTGCTGCCGAGTTTAGTCATTTTACACACTTACATTACAGTAAGTAGTAAGTACACATCAGTGTGCAGGGATTTATACAAACAGATAACCTTCAGCGGGCCATTCATCTTTAGACCATAACTCATGTTGAGGAAAGGTGCTCAAATAGGATTTCATCTTGCAGGTGATAAAAACTGTAAATTACATGCCCATCAACCACTAAGAAGACATTAGCAACTGCATAGCAACAGTCTGGAAAACCAAAAACACCCTAGCAACTGCACTGTAATGTCCTAGCAAACACTCAGATCAATCAAGTAGCTGCATAGCAACACCCTGGCAACCACCCTGAACATTTTAGCCACTTCATAACAATGGCCTGGCAACCACCCAGAACTGCATAACAACAACCTGGCCACCCAAAACACCATAGAAACTGCATAGCAACAACCTGGCCACCCAAAACACCATAGCACTTAATATACTAAACATTATTCTTTAGTACTTCTTAAAATAATCTCAAGAACATTTAAGTGTACTCAGCTGTGTAATTTTAAGACACCATGAATATGAACTGAAATGTGCTTTTAACATACTCTGTATTAAAAATGTATTTAGTTACCACTTGTAGTACACTTGAGTGTACTAATGTATGAAAGATGTTGAAAGCACATTTTAGTTCATATTCAAGGTGTGGATGTTCTTAAGACTGTCTTAAGAAGTACTAAAGAATCATTTTTAGTATATTAAGTACAAAATTAGTGCGTGAAAATAGAGCATTTTAAGTACATTATGGAAGTGCACTTGTTTTTCGCCTGGGGCTTGAATGCAAAATATGTCCCATATAGCAAAATAACATTTTATTTAGACTTTAAGCATGTATTTAGATTTAAAAATCTAGTTACATTAACATATACTTTAAAATTTAGTACAACATTAAAATTACATTTTGTTTCTAGTATTTTTTTTCTAGTAAATGGCTATATTCTCAGATTTGAGCTCCTTGAGTTTCCTGCAGGTAAAACTGATGAGTCTGTCCATCAGTTCTTTGTTTACAGCTGATAAACAGTGTTGATCTATGCCAGACAGAGGTCACATATAGTAAAACAAAATGCATCCAGAATTAACGTGTAACCACAGGAGCCAAATAAAAACAGGAAGTACTCTCTTTGATGACAGGAAGTGGGTGAAAAACACAAGCGAATGCTGTGCTGCATGTGTACGGCTGTGTGTGTGTGTGTGTAAAACTAGTTTTTTTTCTGGTAAAATTGGAACTGTGTCACACTACTTGTGTTGCAAACTAAATCTGAGAAGCTCTGAGCCACATCCTGATACACCTCTCCCTGCAGCGTTATATAGTGCTGCCGAGTTTAGTCATTTTACACACTTACATTACAGTAAGTAGTAAGTACACATCAGTGTGCAGGGATTTATACAAACAGATAACCTTCAGCGGGCCATTCATCTTTAGACCATAACTCATGTTGAGGAAAGGTGCTCAAATAGGATTTCATCTTGCAGGTGATAAAAACTGTAAATTACATGCCCATCAACCACTAAGAAGACATTAGCAACTGCATAGCAACAGTCTGGAAAACCAAAAACACCCTAGCAACTGCACTGTAATGTCCTAGCAAACACTCAGATCAATCAAGTAGCTGCATAGCAACACCCTGGCAACCACCCTGAACATTTTAGCCACTTCATAACAATGGCCTGGCAACCACCCAGAACTGCATAACAACAACCTGGCCACCCAAAACACCATAGAAACTGCATAGCAACAACCTGGCCACCCAAAACACCATAGCAACTGCATAGCAACAACCTGGCCACCCAAAACACCATAGCAACTGCATAGCAACAACCTGGCCACCCAAAACACCATAGCAACTGCATAGCAACAACCTGGCCACCCAAAACACCATAGCAACTGCATAGCAACAACCTGGCCACCCAAAACACCATAGCAACTGCATAGCAACAACCTGGCCACCCAAAACACCATAGCAACTGCATAGCAACAACCTGGCCACCCAAAACACCATAGCAACTGCATAGCAACAACCTGACAACAGAGCAAAGACATGGCAACCACCCAGAACTCCCTAGCAACTGCATAGCAATGATCTGGCAACTGGCAAAGACATGGCAACCACCCAGAACACCCTAGCAAATGCATAGCAACGAACTAGCAACTGAACAAAAAGATGGCAACCACCCAGAACACCCTAGCAGCTGCATAGCAACGACCTGGCAACTGGCAAAGACATGGCAACCACCCACAACACCCTAGCAACTGCATAGCAACATCCTGGCAACACCCAGAACACCCTAACAACTGCAAAGCAACAACCTGGCAACTGAGCAAAGACATGGCAACCACCCAGAACACTCTCACAACTGCATAGCAACAACCTGGCAACTGGCAAAGACATGGCAACCACCTAGGATACCCTAGTAAACCTTATCACTTTTTTCAGAACATGTAAAAATCTAGGGCCAGTTTTACTAACAGCTTGCGCCAGTGCAAACCGTCTTTTGGCGTTAAAATAGTACTGTCAGGATTTACTAAAGACGCGCAGTAAAGAATTAGCACTGAAAAGGCATGGACACAGTTATTTTTGCGCCTGACCTTACTGAATACTCATTTGTAGGAGTTTCCCTTTCAGACGCAAAATTTATGGGAGGATATTACTTAAATGACTCTCGTAACGCAATTTACTAATGTCTGCGTTCGTCAAATTACTGGTATTTGCGCCATTATTTAACGCCCAAAAAAGCATGTCTTAAACTATTTTGTGCTTGAAATGGCTGTAATTGTTGTTGCTAGGAGAAGGCACCACAGAGAACAGAGAGCATGTGGCAGAAGGGAGAGGATTTTTCCACACATATTAATTTTGTTTTGTTGGCATTATTTGGAATGCCAAAAGAACACATTATCCGAACATAATGTTTGCCAAGCCATGTTATTTTCAATTTGCTTCAGGAAATAAAAGACGACTTGGATCCTTTAACTAGCAGTCACGCAAAACCAGGTCTATCAAAACTTCTTGCAACCCTTTATTTTTTGGTCTCCGGTTCTTTTCAACGTACTGTGGCTTCTTTATTTGCGACTACGCTAATTTGCATTGGTCGATATGTAAATGGAATGCATCTGTTTTCTTTAATTTGGCCGTTGTTAGTAAATCACTGGCAGAAATTTCCACGCCCATCGCCGCTGTTTGGAATTGCGCTCTCACGCTAATTTGCCCTGTTTAGTAACACTGGCCCCTAGTTGGAAATGTTACACACAATACAGGACAATACACAATACAAAAAAAACTGAAATTCATATAAACAGTCCAAACTTCAAAATTATGTTGTATGATTACAATCCAACTCAATACTTACAATTTACAGATTACAATTTAAACTCAATACATTCGTTTATTTATGCTACAGCTCCATCAAGACCCCGTCATCATGAAAGTA